GAGTGCTGTGGGGCTGCCAGGGCTCCGTTTCACTCACAGCTTGCCCCAACCCTTGTCTTTCCAGCCAGTGCCCATCGATGACAACTTCTGCGGGCTGGACATCAACCAGCCCCTGGGGGGCTCGGTGCCCGTGGACGGGGTGACGCTCTTCACCTCCAGCCGCGACCGCATGACCTCGGTGGCTTCCTAYGTCTACAACGGCTACAGCGTGGTCTTCGTGGGCACCAAGTCGGGCAGGCTGAAGAAGGTGAGCTGCTGGTCGTGGCTGTGCAGAGCTGTGTTTATGTCTCTGGGGATGCTCTGGTGCGTCACTGCCGCTGTGTCTTATGGGTGTTGTGACACCAGGAGTGGAAGTCACAGGGTTTGGGTTTCACTGAGCCGGGTGTTGGTGAGGCAGAGCTCAGCCCTCAGTGCTGTCAGCACAGAGGGGCATTGCTGTGCTTGGAAGTTTTGGGAAAAGTGCAGTGGAAGCTGCTGCGGGGTGGTCCTGGAAAAGGACTCAAATGAGGTCTGAGGGAAATCTTGGGATGGTTTTGTTTCCCAGCAATCCTTCTGCAGCTGGTGCAGAAGACCACGAGCTACAAAGCCTTAGGAGTTGATGGTGGTGGCAGGATTTTGGTCATGGAGGGATGAGAATGGGTTAATGTGGCTGATTTTGGAGCCCAGCTCAGGGCAGAGCCCTGCTGATTCCCTCTGCCTTTCCCTCCTGTTTTCCCCCTGAGTGCTGGGTGATTGAGCAGTCCTGAGTCATTCTTCATCCTGCACATCACAAACCCTGAGGAGGGATCTGGTGGGGCTGAGCTGAGGGTCACAGAATGTTTTGGGTTGGWAGGAACATGGGTRAGGACACCTTCCACTAGCCCAGGTTGCTCCAARCCATGTCCAACCYRACCTTRAWTGACTTYTAGKCTTTTGAAACCCAGCTGGGATTTCCCCRCTTCTGAGTCACAAAATCACAGAATATTCTGAGCTGSAAGGGAACTCTCTGAGGAGCTCTGTATTTAAAATAAGCTTGGAAGCATCCTTGGGGTGTAAACAGGGGTGTGTGAGAGCTGSAGCTGCAGCTGGAGCCAGCTCAGCAGTGGGTCTGACCCAGCTCCAGCAAAATTCTACTCTGGCAAGCTGAGAACCTTCCAATTAACCTCAGCTCTAAACGACAGCGTCAGGTGAACTTGCTAAACACAGCCCCTGCTCCTTCTGCCAGGGAAAGAGTTAACAAATGTAATCAACAGCAGGCTGTTAATTTTTTGAGTCCTTAAGCAGCAGGGAATTTCTTCCTCATCTATCCAGGAAGATACAAGGACAGGCAGATACTGCACTTGAATGTCGGCATCATTTTAATTACATCAGCTCATTAATATTCATTCGGCACTTTACAAGTGCTGAGTAGTAGTAAATTAGGTGCCTCCCTGGTGCCTCTCGAGTGTCAGTGGGGCAATTTTGAGCGTGGGGGAGAGGGAGCTTGTAAAGCAGAGCCCTTCCCTTCCCTTCCCCGCTCCCGCGCCGTGGCACAGGGGAGAGCCGGGGTTTTTTTTTATTAAATGGAAGGAAAAGGAGCCCTGAGCACATCCCAAATTCCCGTGCCAGGCTCAGAGCCTGTAATGCGGCCTGGGGGTGCAACCTAAAAGGGGATCGAGCCCCAGGATTCATCCCTGGGGGGATCCAGCCCGGTTCTTGCTGTGTGCGGGTTTTTGGGGCACAGGGGAGGCTCCTCATTCAGAGGCAGCGAAAGCCAAGAGGCTGCGCCTGCACACGAGGTATTTACGGGCTTGTTCCATGAATTATGAAGGATTAGAGGAGCAGCAGTCCCTCCAGCAGGGTTTAATTCCTGGTGTTCGTCTACACCGAAYACTTTTTGATGCGAAGTTAATCTATTCGTGCGCCGCCGTCCAGGGGGAGGGCTGTGGAATCCTTCACCTGGAATCCTTCATCTGTTGGATGAAAATTGGCCCATCTCCGGAGTAAATTCCTTCCAGACATCCACCACAGTCRGGCTCTCGTGGCATCTGCCCTTATTTAACATCAGAGCAGCCGATGGGATCCATCCCCCTGTAATTAACTGGAACAATCACGGTCCCATCCTCCCCTGTGTGGGGCTGGGGACGCYGCTGCTCTCTCTCTCACCGTTCTGTCTGCACCTTTTTCCCTCGTTTGGCATGTTGGATCATCTTTTCCGTGGCCTGAGCGAGCCCAGGTGAGGCGTGGGAAGCAGCTCTGGCTGCAGAGGAGGCGAGACCYGGGGGATGTTAACAGCTTGTCTCCGGATTTTGTGCCCGTTCCAAGATAACCAGACATGTCTTGGAGTGCTCAGGATGCTCAGGACTGGTTCCTTATCTCTCCTTCCCCATCTGYGAAGTGCTGGTGGAAATGTTCAGCRYTTCTGTCAGTGCCAGGGATTTGYGGAGACGCCTTTTCCACCTGATCTCCTCGGTGTCCTCCTCCGTCTCAGATCTGCCCACACCATTGATGTCTGAAAGCTTTGTCACACCTATTCCCTCGCCCACAGCTGTTGATTTCCTTTGGAAACAAGCTCCTGCTAGGTCTGGGCTTTCAGGGAAGCCGTTTTTGTGTAGCTGGAGCAAAGTCAGGGCTCTGMAATCTTTCAAACTGTGCTCTCCCAGTGAGAATTCCTCACTGGAAATCCTGGTTTATGTCACCAATGTCCTCCTGCCAGCTCGTCACCTCGCTGCTCCTGCCACATTCCCAGCTCCTGCTGGTTCTGCTCCCCAGGAATTGTCCCAAAGTGGCTGGAAAGCAAATCCTGCTGGTGCTGCAGCCCCGTGGCTCAAGCCCAGGTACCTGGGATGAATTTCTCCCTCCTGCTCTCCTTAAACACCATCTCAGCCTCCTGGCTGTGAGAACAGGAGGAAAGAGGATCATGCTGAAGCCGTAACCACTCAGAACCGTGGATTCCTCCAATAAAACCATTTGCATCAAGCAAAATGAGATGGGACATTAATGCAACAGTTAACAGCAACCAAGTGCTGGGGGGAGATGTGTCAGCTTGCTTGTTCTGTTTATGGGCTTCATACAATTCTATCAATAGAATAGAATGCGTGATGCCTTTGATTTTGACACTAATCATTGCCATGAATTAAATTTGCAGCCATATAATTAGAACTGCTATTAATAGGGCCTCAAGCTAAGCACTGCTGTGCTAGTTGTCTTTTTTCCTGATGGAAAACGGCATCCACGGAACTCAGCTCATGTGGTTTGCCTGGGAGAKGCTGAGAATCCATGTGAAAATTGTGTTTTGGAGGGGCTCCTCTGGAAGGCAGAGTCATGGGAAGGGTTTGGCTCAGAGGTTTCCCTGGAATTGCCTGGAATTGTCCTAAAGTTCCCAATWGTTTKCTGCTCTTGGGATGCWCAGAGGATGCWCAGAGGATGCACACAGAKGCSTTAGAGGGAGAGAGGATTGCAGGGAGAACAGAGGAACCCTCAGTGCAGGGCTGTTACTGCCTGATTTCCATCCCATCTCCTCTTCCCTGTTCAAATCCTCCCGTTTATTCCTCTCCCTCCCCAGAGCCGTGTCAGCTCCGTGTCCCTGTGCACGCCTGGTTCCATCTCATCAGCCTGAGCTCAGAGCCTGGCGTGGCAGCRAGGCTCACCACTAAAAATCAATCTTGTATTTCATCCCGAGAGGTCTGCTTCTTATTAGGTCTAATAAATCAGTGAAGTGCCCTTCATTCAGCTTGTCAATGCAGGACATTGTTTGTGATCAAGAATAAATAAATGTCTCTTCTCCGTCTGCCASTCGCTGGCTAGGTATTATTTTTCCATCATGCTGTTTGTGCTGGCTGGAGGAAAAATGCAGTTCCTGCCGCCTTGAGTGCCTTCCCACGAGCTGGGAATGCTCCTGGGTGGCACGGGCGAGGGAAAAGCAGGAATGGTGACGAGCAGCTCAGTGGTGATAAGGATTTAATCTGTGTGCCTGGAGGTGCTGGAGGTGCTGCAGACAAGGGCCCAGTGTGGTTATTGCAGGTGCCCTGAGGTGAAGGATAAAGTGTGCCAAAGAAATCACCCCCAGTTCTCCTGGAAAAGCGGGTGTCACACGTTGTCCTGTCCATGAGGGCAGAGCTGGACGTGGCTCGAATCCATCCCAGAGTGCGAGGTCACTCCCAAAAAGCTGCTTGGGATCTGTCTGCAGGATTGCTCCAGGGAAATACCACTTCTGGGGCTGTTTTAATGATRAAAAACCCTTTCCTGTAACCTGCTGAATTCCTGAACTCTGTCCCTGCTCCCCACCTCCGCTTTTCCAAGGGATGATGAGTGACTGGATCGCGCCGCCRGAGGAAAGGAGAACTTTTAAGTGCGTTGTTACGTCTTGGGACGTGAGAGTTTTCTTCAGCTTGGCTGATTTAATTTGTTCCATTAGTGGGAATAAAAAGAGGTCTTTCACAATGAAATATATATGTCCGAACCTGTCCTCAAATGACTTCATTCGACGGATGGTTATCTCATCCCGGTAATTTATCCTTCGTTATCGCCCCCGCACGCGCRTTCCGTGGCACTTCAGGAAAAGCTCGGTTGCATCAGAGTGTGGAGAAGCCAAGAGGACACTGGGCTGTTATTGAACAGATGAAAATCATCCATTTGCAGGCGCATTCTGAAGTGTTTGACTGTTTTTAGCCATGGGKTGGGAGGTCAGGGGCTCTGCCGGTCCTGTGCTCAATCCATCACCCTCAGAGCGCAGATCCCCCCGTCCCAGCAGAGTGTGAGAGGGCAAATGGCTCTTGTTTGGCTGAAGAAGTTGTTTAATTGAAAGGCCTGAGGGAAAAAAAAAAAATCTCTGCTTTTTGCCCTAGGATGTGAAATAAGGGGGTTTTGTTTAGTTCTGTATTTGCTGCTGTGGTTGGAGGAGCTGGGATGCTTTTCTCCCTAAATGAGGATTTCCCAGCCTCAGAAAACAATTCCATTTTCTTTCCATCTGTGCTGTCAAACCTCAGAAAGGGGTCCCCAAAATGCCCCATGGTCCCTCACATTTGTTACTGCTCACAGCCAGAAGCTGCAGCCTCACTGATTGATTGGAATTTGTGCAAAGGGATTGGGGGAAGCGATGGAAGCCAGAGGAGAGCTCTGGGGTGAATTTGGGGCTGGAGATGGGGCAGAGCTGCCAAGGCCCTCCCTCCAAGGTTTCATGCCACCTCCTCATGGCATAAAATCGKCSTCCTCCTCCCCCAGCATCCCTTCCYGGGCTCTGCTGCCTGCCAGAGCAGGTCCAATCAGGAAAATGCCAGAAGTTGGCAGATATTTTGGTATCACTGCTGGAGAGCGGAGGGGCAGGTGTTCAGGAAACGCTGGGGATGTGAAATGGAGCCAGGTGAGCTCGGAGGMTGCTTTAATCTCATTTCTTGGCTCAGCAGAGGGGGATGACTCTGGGTTTTTACGCTGGTTCAGGCACCTTGAAAAATCAGCTGGGAATTCTGGAGGGCGGCGATTKCCTTTGGTTCAGCTCTGAAGGAAGGGGGGTCAAGGAGTGGCTGAGCAGCCCTGTCYRTGGAATCCATCCTGCCCTGRAAATCATGGAATGGTTTGGGTTGGAAAGGACCTTCCAYRGCCACCCCAYCMTGCARTGAGCAGAGACACCTCCAACCAAACCTTCAACCATCCAAAAGGGTTTTTATCTTGAACATATCTGGAGATAACCCATCCCCACACCTTCCCTCAGAGGTATTATCTCCTCCATGAGCATCAAGCGAGGCAGAAGTTATTCCTCCTCCGTTTCACGACGTTTTCATCAAGTTCAATAATGAGTTTCTACTTGAAATGATSTTGGGGAAAAAATATCACGAAATTCCAACCTCTTCTGGGAACTTCTGATAATTTTCCTGCTTTCCTTGGAGTGTGAAGCTGAAGGAGTTGCTGAGCTCTGGGTGATGTTGGGTTTGGGGGTGGGGCAGTGTCAGCCTCCTGCCTCTCCACACACGAGTCAAGAAGTTCATGCTTTCTTTACTATAAACATATTTTTCTGCAGGCTTTTAAAATCCTCAGAGGTCAAAATAACACAGGTTTTGGTCCATTTGTAAGATCTTAAATCCCTGGGTGGCAAGGAATACTGTGAGAAGACCGGGCTCTGTTGCTTCTCTAAATGCCTCCTCGAGGCAGAAAAAACAAATGTGGAAACCACAAATGTGCCGGGAGAGACGGGGGAATGTGCAGGGAATGTGCCACAGCCCCTGAGCTCCTGCTGCTGCTGCAAAAAGGTTGGGATTTCGGGACAAGCAGGGGTTGAGAGCCACGGGAAAGCAGCGCGGCAGTGGTTTGGGGTGGGGATGGCTGTGAGGTTTTTTTTTTTTTTCCCCGGGTGATGTCGGCTCTCACATTCGCTCCATCCCCGCTCAGTTTGCAGTCTGTTGTCACCCCGGGTGCCTTGTGCTGCCGGCTGGGGCAGGGGCAGGGTGAGTAGGGCTGGGAAATAGGGAAATAAATAGGGAAACAAATAGGGAAATAGGGAAATAAATAGGGAAATAGGGTGGGTTTAGGGCGGGTTTGGGGCGGCGGATCCATCGGCGCCGCATCCTCCCGGTGCTCACGGGCGGGCAGCAGGGTCCGTTCCTCCCGTCACCATGAACGGGTTCCGAGCCTCTCCCTGCATTTTCCGAGCCTCTTCCCATTCCTGGGAGCTGCTCGGATGGGCAGAACCCTGTCTGTGCCTCGAGGGGCTCTCTGCAGGCAGCGCAGCCTGCAAATAGCGGAGGGAGAGAATCCCTGCCTGGGTGAGGGATCCTGGGGGATTCTGCACCAGAATTCCCTGGAGCCTTGCAAGGGCCTTTCCTGGCTGCGACCCGGGCAAAAAAAACAACAAAACCCTAAACCCGAGCACTGGCCAAAGCTTTCATCGCCTTTGGTTTGCTCTGAGAGGAGGGAGAGGCCCCTGGTCCCTCCCAGCTCGTACCGGGAGCAGCGGGTGATGCTGGAGGAGCACACAGAGGGTTTACGGTTCTGATTCCTGGGACAGCAGCACGGGAAAGCTGCGATAATTAACGAGAGGCTTCGTCAGCAGCCCCGCACCTCGCGTTGCTCTCTCTYGCTCGGGTACACGGCTCTGCATCAAACACATCCGTGTACATGAAAGAGATGAGGGTTTAAAATGAATGTACGCATCATACAGCCCCGCTCCCGTACAGCACGGGAAGGGTTTTTTTGCTTCTTTTT